TTATTGAGTTTCTTGTTTTTCAAAAAAAACTTTCAAAAAACATAAATTTTAAAAAATTGTAAATTTAAACTACTGTACATGTAGCAAAAAGATTATAATGAATGTAATTTGAAAATTATTTCCAATCTAAGTATTTCAAGATGAAAGTGACACATGTTAAAGAACCAATAACTTGGCAACAGCAGTATAGTGTGAATTTGTACCTATATTTTTTTGATAAGGCAAGATTTCCGTTTCTATAGCACTGTTAATGAGAAGTTGCTGGCTAAGTAATATTGTGCTTGCTTCTAAGTGCAAAAGTTTGATCATGTGCACTCCTAATGGCATTTTACAATGGAATAATCTTGATCCAATGTTACTTTCATGTCCAATTGAGGTGAAAAGTTCAAATGAATCAAGTTTCAGGGCACTGCTTTGATTCCTCAGGGGGTAGTTTCAGAAATACAGTACGGTAGAATCAATATTAACTGTAGTACAACTTCAGCTATGATAAGTGCTGTCTTTAATCAGAGGTTTGATTGTTTAAAACAAAAATGTTTTAAAAAACAGGTACAGAGCATGGATAAGTACCAAAGCATATTGAGTAACATACCTCATTGTGTCTGTAAAGCCTGTAGAGCAAAATATGTTGGAGCAACTTTTAAAAGTGGACCAGTAATAAGAATGAAAAGTTACAGAGATAGCGTGTAGGTAAAACCACTGTAGAAAGTTATAAAATCTATGCCAAGCTCAACATTCTATGATTCAGCATAACCTCCATTTTATGTTGCAGAGCATCAAACAAGAGGCAAGTTCCTGGCCAATAGTATCCTGGCCAACAACTGCTCAGATAAAATTAGTCTTTCATTTCATGGCTGTTTGTGGGACATTGCCATGTACAAATTGGCTGCCATGTTCGCCTACACAAATACAGTCACTACCCTTCACTACAGTAAATCCTCTCAAGTGCTTTGAGAGGTCTTCTCTATGTAAAAGGCACTATATTAAAAACAAGGATTATACTGATTAGATACGGTTTTTCACAGAAAACAATTGCACAGAAATTTGTGTTAGACATGCTTCACACAACTGAGTTGCGGACAAATGGTAAGCTTCAGATTCATTAAAGACTCATGTAAAGGATTCAAGATATTGGGGGTATCTGTGAGTATCTGCATGCATCCATATTGTGAATAATGAAGACTGTATTGTAGATATATGTAAATTTTATTGTATTTTTTAATTAGTTTTCTGTATTTTAAAATAAGTCAAGATGTCAGTGCTGGGACAATATATTTCCTACGTTTAACAGTAAGTAAGAAGCTTTAATTTAGATGGAGCACGTGAGATTCAGGGTAAATTTCCAACAATATCTTAGTCCTAAACCTTTTTGTACTGGATTTCCATCAGCCATTACTACTTTCCAACAATATCTTAGTCCTAAACCTTTTTGTACTGGATTTCCATCAGCCATTACTACTTTGTTTTCATTATGACCTCCACATTTCTAACTTGTAAAAATAATTCTCACATCGGATATTTTGCATTTGTCAAATAATTTGTCAGTTTGACTTAGTGGTAGTACTCTCACCTCTGAGCCAGAAAGTCATGGGTGCAAACCCCATTTGAACTCACAGTGCAGTGCTGGGGTGAATGCATTGTCAGAGATGAGATGCTAAACCAAGGTCCCACCTGCGTGTTCAGGTGGATGTTAAACACACCACGGCATTATTCAAAAAGAGAAGGGAATTACTCTGGTGTCCTGGCCAACAATCGCCCAAATCAAATTGATCATTTGTTTCATCCTGTTTATGAAACATTGCTGTGTTCAATTAAGGTGCCACATTTACCTTATAAATAGTTACTCCACCTAAATTCTGTTTGGGATATCCTCCTGGCATGAAAGGCTCTATACCAAATATAAAGGGTATTATTATTTAATCACACCTTTAATAGATTTAGGGCTCAAATGTTTTGGTTTAAATCCAGGTAGGTTTTCATTAAGCCCTTCAACCTTTTGAAGTTGCCTTTTCTGGTCAGCCTGGTGTCTGACAATACAGAAACCCCTAACTATCCTTAAGAATCTCTAAGACACACATGCATGATATGTGTTTGTCTGGTACGTGTGCCTTCATGTGCTGCTGGCGTTTAACCAACGATACACATTCAACTTGCCATTGGAACATAATTGACAAGCTTCCTGTCCTTGTTCAAACAGGATTGGCCAACCCTTTAGGACTTTGGCTTAAAGAACTTTGGCACAAATATACAGTCAATTCACTTTACAGTGAATTCCAGGCAGGGCGAAACCTTGTGCAAGTTTCCTTACTCCATACGCCTAATAATAATCCCTCCAAAACCAAAAAAAACAATAATAAATTGGTCATTTTCAATCTACAACTGTTTGTGGGACATTGCTGTGTGCAATTGGCTCTCGCGTTCGCCCACAAATATACAGTCAATTCACTTTACAGTGTGTTCTGTGAAGCGCTTTGCGATGTCCTCCCGACATGAAAAGCGCTATATCAAATGCAAGGATTATTATTATTATTAACAGGATGGATCTGAGCTGCCTCCTCCCACCTCCCTGACTGTGACTGAGTCTCCTGCCAATCTAGCCAGGTTTTGAGCTCTCTCTCTCGGTTGCCAGAACTCATCATCACCATAAAATATTTACAGGTGTAGATAGTGGTCGAGTGTCATAGAATACTTTTGCATTGCAAACTCACATTGAGGAATGATGGAGCGAGCGTTGGCTGCAGAAGGCAATGCACCGCTCTGGACCCCACGACACAGTGTGGCACTGGGGACCGTTTCCACGTTACATTGTATGATGGAGACAGTGCGCGTTGGTTACAGCGTTGCAAAAAAAAAAGAAACATTGTGTTAAACGCACTGGAGTTTGCGAAGGATGTGCGCTGCGATGTTGCGGAAGACCGGAGCTCAATCCCAAATGATCCCTATGTGCATTAAGTGCATCGCTGTGTGCAGTGTGGGCACAGCATTCATTACAAGGCGCCAACTTCACTGCAACGTGATCACAAACCGCTCTCCTCCCGCGGCCACACGGTGCTCGTTCCCTTGCGGGTGAACGTGCGGCAAAGCGAGTTTGCAAACATCTGGACCGCCAACGTGTGAGCCCCCGGTGCCGCTGGTCAGGGGAGCGGCGGTGATCAAAACCCGGAGAGCGTCTCCTGACGCTGACCCCCCGTTGGCAGAACAAAACGAGAAGTTTGTGAAGATATCGTACAGCACCAGAGCCACAGACACTCTATATAGTATATAGGCGACATCTAATGGACAGGAAAACCGGGAGAGAGTCAATCTTATCTGTAGTTATATATATATATGTGTGTATATATCTCACAAGTATTTGGTTGCAATTCGCTTCCCGGCACTGCACTCACTGCACCGCCGACGCTCTCGGTTGTCAGTGCCTTCGGTGCGCGGGTGAACAGCGAAAAGGGAACGAAGTAGAAAAAAAAACAAACACCGCAAACAATCAAAACTCCGCCACTCCGCGGAACCTCTCGGGTTTGGATGACCCGTCACCAACGCATACAATAGGGCGCGAACACAAAACCCGAACGAGAGGAAAGTGGGACATTGTGGGGAAAGTTTGAACACGAGAGAGGGGGAGAAGCGGCTGAGGTCAGACCCCGGGTCCCGGGTCCCGGGACCACTCGCTCACAGGGAGAGGCGCGGGAGGCGCTGCCGCTCACACAGAGAGGGATTCCCGCTGCGCTTTGGGAGGAAGAGAAGATGCACGAAAATGCATCCAATAAGGAATTTCTTTCCCTTTTCCATTTTCGCCTCTTCATTCCCCCCCGTTCTCCCCCTCTCTGTTGTTCCCCCCTCCCCTCTCCCCCCCTCTCTCTCCCCTCCTCCCGTTTTCCCCTCTCTTCACTCGCTCTCCCTCCCCCCCCCCGTTCCCCTCTCCGCCCTCTGTGGTCCGCTCTCCTCCTCAGTCCTCTCCCCCTCTGTTGTCCCCTCTATTCTCCTCTCTCCCTCCACTCATTTCCCTCTGTGGATGTCTCGGTCTCTGTACATTTTTCTCCAATCGACTTGTTTTCTCCTCTTCCTCCTTTACTTCTCTCTCTCCTTCCGCTTCTTCTTTACTTCCTTCCCTCCCTCCCTCCCCTTCCCTCCCTCCCTCCCCCTTTCTCTCCAGTGACAACACAACAGCGATAACCCACAGGATTGTGAGTCGAGCCGTTGGTTGTCACTGTGGACCCGGAAGCGGCTGTGGCCCCGCCCCCGGGGCGCGGCGTCACGGTGTTCTATTGGAGGCGGGGCCCGGGCCGGGCGGTCAGGCCATTGGCAGAGCCCATTGTCTGTCCCGAGGCCGGTGGAGGGGGCGGGGCTACAGGGTGGGGCTACAGGGCGGGATGACGAGAGGGGGCGGGGCTACAGGGCGAAATGACGAAAGGGGGCGGGACTATAGGGCGGGATGCCGAGATGGGGCGGGGCTCCGGACAGGAGGGGCGGGGCTATAGGGCGGGATGACGAGATGGGGCGGGGCTATAGGGCGGGATGACGAAAGGGGGGCCGGGAGGGCGGGGGCGGGGCTCCTGGCGGGGGGGGCGGGGCTCCGGGCGGGGTGGCGGCAGCAGCTCCTCTCGGCTGCAGACGTGGTGTAAAGCGATGGACAGGTGATGTACTACAACAGTCCCGACTCCCACTACAACTACCAGCAACAGCCCCCCCCCCCCCAGAGCCCCGGCCCCGGAGCCCCGGCCCGGCCCGGGGAGGCGCCCTCCCTCCCTCCTCATGGCAGCTGGTGCTGAGTGAGTGAGAGAGAGAGAGAGAGGACAGAGCAGAGCGGCAGTGGCTGTGGTTGTCTCTGTCTCTGTGCGGCTCTCAATAAGACGCTTTTTTAAAAAAAAAGTGTTTAGCAGTTTCTCTTTTGTTTTGCAAACAAGAGGGGGAAAAGCCCCCAAACCCCCCTCCCCCCCAAACCCCCTCCCCCCCACACACTCCTCCCCCTCCCACCCCCCCCCCACCCCCCCCCAAAAAAAAAATCGAGATGCCAACCACAGCTCTGCTGCCCTTCGCCGTGCCCGGCACCAGCCGCAAGTCGGTGAGCAGCACCAGCGGCTCCTCGGTGGTCATGAACCGACCCGCCTTCCGACTGACCGAGAAGTTCCTGCTGCTGCTGGTGTTCAGCGGGTTCATCACCCTGTGCTTCGGGGCGATCTTCTTCCTGCCCGACTCCTCCAAGCTGCTGAGCGGCGTCTTCTTCCACTCGCACCGGCCCCGCCAGCCCCCGACCTCCCAGCACGGCCAGGGCACGGCGGCGCCCCGGGGGCGGCAGGGCGGCCACAAGTTGAGTCGGATCCGGCAGGACCACGAGAAGGCTCTGCGGGAAGCCAAGGACACGCTGCACAAGCTGCCCGAGGACATCCAGCGGGACATCGACCGGGAGAAGGAAAAAGTTCTGCGGGGCTCCCTGAGCAAACCGGGGGCCACTCCGCGGCTGCCGAGCATTGCCTTCCGCAAACCCGTGGGCGCCGCGGGGCGCGAGCCGTCCGACCCGCAGACACGGGAGAGGCGCGGGAAGATTAAGGAGGTAACAGTGTGTTACAGTGTATCCACACACAGTGCAGCGCAACACACGACAGTCCCTCGTGGAGTGCAACACACCACAGTGCAGTGCAACTCACTACTGTGCAACACACCACAGTGCAGTGCAACTCACTACAGTGCAACACACCACAGTGCAGTGCAACTCACTACAGTGCAACACACCACAGTGCAACTCACTCCAGTGCAACACACCACAGTGCAGTGCAACTCACTACAGTGCAACACACCACAGTGCAGTGCAACTCACTCCTGTGCAACACACCACAGTGCAGTGCAACTCACTACAGTGCAACACACCACAGTGCAACTCACTACAGTGCAACACACCACAGTGCAGTGCAACTCACTACAGTGCAACACACCACAGTGCAACACACCACAGTGCAGTGCAACTCACTACAGTGCAACACACCACAGTGCAGTGCAACTCACTCCAGTGCAACACACCACAGTGCAGTGCAACTCACTACAGTGCAACACACTCCAGTGCAACTCACTCCAGTGCAGTGCTGTTAGTTGCACAGGGCATTTGCACGGCTTCTCGCCCTCTCTCGCCGCTCAGTGACTCTGGGCCGCAGCCACTTTGTCACTCACTGAAACTTGATGTTTTATGGGCTTTTTTTTTCAAAAAAGGGGATTTTTTTTTCCAGCTTCGTTCCGCTTTTCACTGTGTGTCGAGAACCCGCTCCCCTCCCCGTCATTAGTTTCACACACACTCCCCACACCCACCACACCCACCACACACACACACACCCAACACCGCTACTGACTGAGTTAGATTGGGATCCGACTCATTGCACAAACCCCCATTCCGCCCCAGAGTTGTAATTCTCTTGTGTTTTCTGTAATGCACATACAGAAATCGTCCAGTTTTTTTTAAAAAAAGAAAGAAGTGACGAGAGCTTTGCAGATAAACAGTATATACATTTCCCTGAAGTAGGTTTGCACTCTTACGGAATACCGTAAAAGGTAAGAGCTAAAAGAAGATGCACACTTTTTAAAAAAATTTAATTGTGTACTTGAAACCATGAACGAAATTGACACTGCCCTCGTGTAATGTTGGGGATTTGATCACTATCAGCAGATGAATCCATCCCCTGCATTGTTGGTTGGGATCAACTGGTCGTTGTAGCAGCTTATCAAAAAAAAACTGCAAAATGCCAGTCTGGCTAGATTTAATGCAAAAAACATTATTTTGTTTTGGTGGAGTGCATCCTGCCACACCATTGATGTATTACTGAAATGCCAATGAAGTGAAATTAACAGTAAAGGTGACAAATGTTTAAACAGACATAGGCCAAAACAACAACAAGCTTCCAGTGTGATAGTGCAGATCGTGATTTTTACATTGACGGTTTATTCTTGATGTATTATAATAATAATAATCCTTGCATTTGATATAGCGCCTTTGAGACGTCTCAAAGCACTTCACAGAATATACTGTAAAGTGAATTGACTGTATTTTGTGGGTGAAACACGCAAGCCACATGCGCACAGCTGTGTGTCCCACAAACTGTTGTGAATTGAGTGACCAAATTATTACCCCCATAAAAGCGATCAAACAATCGAATAACAACCGGGTGCTTACTTACCGCTTGGTAAACAGAAGCGTGTGGAATAAGGAAATTTCCCAATGTTTCGCCCTGCCCGGGAATCAAACCCAGGTCCTCTCACTTGTGAGGCGAGTGCTCTAACCACTGAGCTACAGGACTCCACGTCATACAGTATTTCAATCAATTCTAAGTTACGAGGACAGTATGTTTCCCATCAATGTACATTTCCCACTTGCTGAATACATTTGTTTCTCATTTTGAAACTCAACATTTAATGAACCACAGCACATATTATTTGCATATGCCAAACTTTTTGATACTTCTGTGATGCGATTCAAAATAATTTTACGGGTCATTGCTGTGTGCAACTGGCAGGTGTGTTTCACGCACAAAATACACAGTTAACCTATAAAGCACTTTGAGACTTCACAACAAAGTGATAAGCATTATGTCAAAATGTAAGAATTATTATTAATATTTTCCCCCAAATCACTTCTTCCACTTTTCGATAAATTCTTGCAATATATTGACTATTATTCACTTGCATACATGGAGGGGAAATGAGCTGTCCTCATAATTTATAATTGATTGAAATACTATACATAATACTATAAGAACAAAAGTCAATGAAAAAATGACGACTCACTTAATTTTATACAAAGACCAAGAAATTAGGATGTATATTTTAAGACATTCTTTCATTAATTTGTTGAATTTTACCCATTATCCTAACCAAAATAAACAGCATGAATTTTGAAGCTACTCCATTGTTTTATGTCAGGAGTTGCTACTTGGGGGTTGCCTGGGGTTTGGAAGCTAATCGGGATGAGTGACTGGAAAACGATTAACAGCAGTTGCTTGCCTAGAGTGGGTCTGGGTACTCGTGTGTACATCATCAGAGTGGGTCTGGGTACTCGTGCAGACCGAATATGGTGGGCTTCATGAGAGGCAACATATGTCTCGGATAAATGCCTCTTACCAGTCAAAAGTTAACTTTTTAAAGAAAAAAATGAAGATGCACTTTATACCTGTAAGTGGTTTATCATAATACAGTAAGTTGAGTTGATAATTGCAGGTAATCTTTATCATGTTACATTTTAACATGAAGATTTGAGGTATGATTATTTGATTAAAACGGTCACATTATTAAGCCATTACAATTTAAATTGATCCTTTTAAGCAAATTGTGCCTTACCACAGCATTAAATAATGAACAGAATTAAGTTGGAAGATTAAAATCTCTTGTTTGACTTGGTGATTGCATCGTGCAAAAATGGTGCTTGTTTGGAGGAGGCTCGTTTTGCCTATTGCTCCATAGTATGGTCACCAAATCCTAACATCACTTTATCTGTTCAACTTTGAGGACTTGTCCTGTTTTTGTTGGCGCTTTAGATACAGTGAAAACTGTCAGCAAGGTAACCTATCTGTTGTATCCGCCTGATTCTAGTTTTAATATTTCAATGGTAAAACATGAACTTGATGCCTCTGGTAAAATGCACATTTTGTATAAAATACTTGTCAGCTTGAAAGTCAATGGTTTTCGTTTAACTTTGACATAAGCCATCCTTCCTGGGTAACATACCTGTGAATTTCAAAAAGGTAAAACAGCATTATACTGTAAACGATACAGAGTATAGAATAACTTTTAAGAAATTATTGATTTCTCAACCAAACTTTTGTGTAATTCTCCCTCAAAAGTAATGCTGCCTCCAGCAGGATGATTAAAGCATTCATCGTCATCGTCTTTCTACGCCCCCCCCCCCACCGTTGATGGACATACTTCTTTGTTTTCCCCTCTTGTTAATGGAGTGCTTACTTCTTGTCCAGTGCTCTATCTAGTGGTATGATAAGAAACTGGCAGAACTGATTTGGCAGAAAACCTGCAGCTTCAGCAGAAACTGGGATTCAGGCTTGTGACCTTTTGAGTTCTGTCTGACACAAGTACCTTCAGGGCTACAGCATATAAAACATTTTTTAATCTAAAGGAACTTAAATTACATTGCCGACTTTATTTTACTGTGAAGTTGAATGGTTGTGTGACTTTTGCAAATACCAGGAGATTTGGAGCACCAGGAAAAATATTTGACCTAGGTTTGTAGATGTTCGTTGAGAGAATATGTTTAATAATTACGAATTTTACATTCAAAACAAGGTTTTGTAAACTGTTATGTTTTTGCTTTAATGGATAATTCATGGAATTTTATGCTTCTTTTAATACAAGTTTAGTTTCCTATAATTTCACTTATAAATATAATTTTCACCCACAAATATACAGTTAATTCGCTTTACATTACAATCTGTGAAGCACTTTGAGACGTCTAGAAAACGTGAAAAGCGCTATAGCAAGGATTATTATTATTAACTCCAAATGGAGCCAGCCTCTTCTCCTTCCAGTACAAAGTGGACTGTGGTTTGTCACTGTACTGTGAATCACCTGGGAAATGGGGTCAGATACAGAGAAACGAAGCCCGCTCATTTTTTTTAACATATGAAATTGTGATATCAATAGACTTTTGGAAATGTTACTCTGCTTGGACTCTGTTTCAGCTTTTTTTAAACACAGGATTAATGACTAACTACCATTAATGTGAATGTCCAACGCACTCCTTGCCGGTCTCCCCAGCTCCACCATTCATAAGATCCAACTCATTCAAAACTCTGCCGTCCGTATGCTGACCCGGACCAAACTCCATACCCACTATATCAAATGCAAGGATTATTTTTATTATTATCTCACCAGTTCTGGCCAGGCTCCACTGGCTCCCCATCACCGAACAGATCGACTTCAAGATCCTCACACTTGTGTTCAAATCCATTCACTCTCTGGCACCTCCCTACCTCTCCAAAGTCCTCACTCCCCAATCCACCACTCGGCACCTCCGGTCGACTGGCTCCGGCCTCCTGCACATCCCTCGCACTCTCCGCCCCACCATTGGAGGTCATGCTTTCAGCCACTGCACCCCGAAACTCTGATACACTCTCCCTCAATCCCTCTGCCTTGTCCCCTCTCTTCCCTTACTCAAGTCCCGCCTGAAAACTTTCCTCTTCGACCGTGCTTACGGTCACCTCCCCCCTCCTCGCTGCTCAGAGGGAGGCTCCGCCACTGTGAAGCGGTCTGAGACTCTACCCTGTATGGAAAGTGCTATATAAGTGCAAGTTGTTGTTGAATTCAGGGCAATATAGCTTTTTAAAAAAAATTACAGGGTAGAAAGAATTGGGGGGTACTTTAGTGTATAAACGCTTTGAAATGTTTGCTGAAGAATTTAGTTCACAACAGTACAAAATAGTGCTTCACAGCTGTTCCGTTGGTATTTGCAGCTTCCTGCACACAGTGCACTGTTTTTGGATTGCTTGCCCACAACTGGAGACCGGTGGAAGCTATTCAATAACAATCTTGTGCAGCAACATGGTTTCTGCATTTCCCAAAGTT